TTGTTGCTTATTTCTGTCGTACAGAATCCATGTCGAACCATAACCCCATTACATGTGTCCATGTTCATTTAGTAGTACCTGATGTAGAGTTATAGAGTGTGGCAAAGTAAGACAGAATGTTCTCAATAAAGTCCAAAGCCAAATAGTTAAAAGAGACACATTTGAATGAATTTTAATACCAGATGAAAACGGTAATGACCACCTGTGAAAAAACATGCCAATATCAGATCAACATGAGGGGAAATAAGATCAACATGAGGGGGAATAAATGATCATGGAACTTTCATTTTGAGGTAAACTAATGTTGGAAAATTTCAACATTATTTTCATGTTCAATAAAAACGGTCAGGAGAGAGTTTTTTTTCAATGTCAAACATATAAATCATTTATTGGATACAAATGAATAATTTAATTCACAGAATTCTGGTATCCCTAATGCAATGCAAGAATTACATTCAGGAGGTGCGCAACAATTTTCATTTCCTGACTCAAGCTTTTATACGCAGCTGATATTAACAGGTGGAGTTTAGTGGAATTTGTCACTTGTCAATCATTCTCCAGTCCTCTGTTGGCCGCACCCATACATACGTCCTCTTTTCCTACAAATTCTCTGCACAACATTAATGCATAAGACTTTTCAACTGCAAATATTTTCTGTTCAGTTTTAACCTAGCTCTGCTCACAGGAAGTTTAGCGGCAGAGCTCAAGTTAATTTTAGACAATCAGGTCTTTGCATTTCTATCAGCTTCATCTACTTTTGCAAAGATGCTTCATTGGTATACAAGGCATATCACACTCAAGAGAAGAAGTTTGATTAGTTTCACCTTAAGCAATACAAATACATTTATTTAATGAAAAGAAAAAGAATAAAAATAACTAAAATAATTTTAAAAAAGTATATCCCTTTTTCCCAACACTAACCTTTCGCACACAACAAAAACAAAAAACTTCCAAAATATTTCCAAAATACACTTTCATGAACTTCAGTGTACATGTGGTAACCTGTAATGGCCTTGGCAAATATTTACTCCAGCAGTGTTTCAGTAGAAGAACCTGTCCTTTAATGTCTTTTTGACTGATGTCTTTGGACTGATTCGATCATCAATAGAGGCTTAGCCTGAAGTGGAGTTCTCTCCTAGTTAATCACACTGCTCTCCGCTACTATAAACAGAAGTTAATGACACAGGATATTGTTCTAATGGTTGGGAGGAAAGAACACATGTGCTCTGGCCTGCAACACGGGTCTTTTTAATGTAGACCTCTGCTCTTTACTGCCATCAAACTGAACCCTGAAATTGATCACATTGCAAGGCTATGTTTATAAAGCCCACGTTCTGAATCAAAATGGCCTCTTTAAATGGAAAACGAAAACCTGTAGTCGTTATGGACCTGCATATTGCGCCTGAGTATTTGTTATAGCTCACTTGGAGCAATTGAAAGTGACGTTTATCGAAGAGATTTAACAGCTTTGCTGCTGCTGTTGCTGTTTTTTTTTTTTCCTCAATGTGAGGTTCATGGAGATTGGGTTCAGCGAAAACACACCTCGAGGCCATTTCTGAAGACATAACGAGCCATTGTGTAAAGACAACATTTTTGCATTGTGCCAAATCGCAAGACCACAAGAAATCAGTCCCAAAAATAGACCGATTGTATTAATTGCAGGAAATTGCCGGTGGAAGATTAAGCGAAATTGTTACATTTTCTTTCCTCGTGCCACCAAAAGAGAGCATTTTCTCAGGGTTGTTTCCACTTAAGAAAATCATTTTCTGAGAATTGGCATCATCATCTTGGTTGCGGGGCTGGGAATGGCGATCGGGCAGCTGCAAACTGGCCAAAAGCCGGGACTGTGTTTGAGAGAGAGGCCCACTTGAGATAAAGTCACCACACATTATGCTGCCTTGCCTCATTTTGTGGTGCTAAATGGCCTGAACAAGTGCAATAATAAGACTGCGAGCCAGGCCTTGATATGCAACTATAGAAAGATTATTTTCTGCAGCCTGTACGTGAACCGTAGCGCAGCTAGCAGAGAATGTGTGCCAGATCGGGATCCAGATACCACCCGGCATCCAAGTCTGACTCGTTTTTCCCCCCGCTGACAAATTTTCTGTGCCTCTCAGTCACACGTCCTCCTTCGAGCGTTCACACACTCACACACACACTCAATCATACGCACCTCGTTATCTTATTTGCCACTGTTGGATTTAGCAAGCCACCCTTCGTTGTGTGCGATATGCCACACAGTCTTTCCCAGAATGCTTTGCCTGCAACACCTGGCTTGCATTAATTCTGGTCTGAGAAGCCTGGCTGAGAAGCGAACGAGTGTTATGCACTTTGCTGCTCTGTTTTTTAAGGAGGGGAGAAAGGGGTGAGGAAAGGTTCATTTGCTTTGGGGTTCTGCTCTTTAAATCATAAAAAATTATCATTCGCAGGCCGCTAAAGGTCTCGCTTGCTGTTTTAACCCTTTAAGTGACACTAGAAGAAATGCTTAAAGAGTTAATTGACCTGAAAATGAAGTCATTGTTTAATCATCATGTTCTAATGTTGGATACTTGCTTACAAGATAAATCCTAATTATTTATCCAAAATTATCAGGCTGCAAATTACATGGGGGTTTGAGGGGTCGACCTCCCTAATTAACGCTTGATCCCCACAGAAGGATGTCAAAACGAGATGCACGGGGCCAGCCTTTAAATAACTTTAATGATTAAAACAATGGATAATAAAAATACATTTGACCACCCCTATAATGGTTCATCCCATTGTGAATGCATAGTTGCACCTATCAGAGATTAGTCAATGTGAGAAAAGAATTCATTCAACAGTCTGAAACCAGCACATCGAGAGCATCGATAGACATCGTAAGTGAATCATAAAATAGGTGTTTGCATCTACATATAGCCTGAAAGTAAAATTAGTCAAATTAATTAATCAAATTAGATGCATAGGTTGTATAGTTTGACCTACAGTAACGTCTGAAATAGTTAATTAGAGGATACTGTAGATCAGATTAAATACAGTATCCCTCAAAACACTGACAACTTAAATATGTGTAATTAATCAATTAGATGTAATTTAAATAAATGCATAAATGGCTGAAGTGTATACTACACAAATTAAAATCACCAAAAAAGTTGACCCCCTTGATCATCAATGAATAATTTGCCCACTGAATATAATGGCAGTGAATAGCGGTCAGCATTAACAATAGCTCTAAAAAACACTATTAACATAGCACATATATTGCAAATATGTTGCAATTTAGGCTGAGGTCATTCATTTATTTTTCGTCAGGTTGGTCTCTTATTTTTGTCAGAGGTTGCCACAGTGGAATGAACTGCCAACTATTACAGCATACAGTTGAAGTTAGAATCATTAGCCCCCCTTTGAATTTTTTTTTTTCTTTTTTAAATATTTCCCAAATGATATTTAACAGAGCAAGGAAATTTTCACAGTATGTCTGATAATATTTTTTTCTTCTGGAGAAAGTCTTATTTGTTTTGTTTTTTTCAGCTACTATAAAATTTGTTTTTATTTTTTAAAAACCATTTTAAGGTCAAAAATATTAGCCCTTTAAGCTATATTTTTTCCCCGATAGTCTACAGAACTAACCATCATTATACAATAACTTTCCTAACTACCCTAACCTGCCTAGTTAACCTAATTAACCTAGTTGAGCCTTTAAATGTCACTTTAAGCTGTATAGAAGTGTCTTGAAAAATATCTAGTCAAATATTATTTACTGTCATCATGGCAAAGGTAAAATAAATCAGTTATTGGAATTGAGTTATTAAGACTAGTATGTCTAGAAATGTGTTGAAACAAATCTGCTCTCTGTTAAACAGAAATTGGGGGGAAAATAAACAGGGGAAACACCCATACACTCTCATTCACACACACACATACACTATGGCCAATTTAGTTTATTCAATTCACCTCAAGCACATGGCTTTGGACTGGGGGGAAACTAGAGCACCCGGACGAAACCCACACGAACATGCAAACTCCACACAGAAATGCCAACTGGCTCAGCCGGGACACGAACCAGCGACCTTCTTGCTGTTAGGTGACAGTGCTAAGTAGAGCTAAATAGCTAAATAGAGACTGTTGCATTAGCAAACATGCTGATATACACATGAGTGGAATAATAATGCAATATATAAGAAAATCTATATTTGTAGTAAAAAAGTAAGACATATGCCATTAAAAAACATGTATGTGTTAATTTTGACAGCAAATTTTTATTTAGTTTAGTCTTAGTCTTTTGACTAAAATTCCATTTTAGTTTAGTCATATTTTAATCTTCTGAATAATTTTAGCTTTAGTCGAGTAAATTTCATAAGATTTTAGTCGAGTAAATCTACTCTAGATTTAGTTGACTAAAATATATTTGGTTTAAATTAGGTGTAATTTAATTCAATATTGTATATGTATACATTTATATATATATATAAAATATTCTAACTTCAAATGAAATAAAACAGTCTCATCAAAAATAGAATATAGCTTTCCTATGGAAGACCAAAAATGATTTATGCAGCGTTTATTTATATCATGAATAATATGTAAAACTATGTGTCGACAATCAATCCACACGATAATCGCCCGCGTCTACCAGCAGACCAGTTACTTTTCAAATGTGTGTGTGTTATAATCACACACCAAGATTAATTATGATTGGATATTTTCAAAAAACATGCCTCAATCCTATTCTTGTCTTGTTATTATTAGTCAGCGAAACTGTCAGTATATTTTTATTATAGTTTTCGTCATAATCGCTTAATTTTTATTTAGTTTTCATCTCGTTTTCATCGGTAGAAACTTGTTTGTCACAAAAATCAACAAAAAATTTTTGTCACCAAAATTAGCACTGCAACACGCCCTAGACAATGGGTTATAAAATGATCTGACCTTGATTTACTGTGCTTATTTCCTGCTACCAAAAAGTTTCAAAACGTATTTGAAGGATTAAATCATTGTTTTTCCTGTCTGTTTCTCCACAGGAGGTTCGGGGAAAGGCCACCGGACCAAAGACCAGAAGAAAAAATCCAACAAGCAGAGGCTGCGCTTGCGGGCTCAGAACCAACACAGCGACCACCTCGCCTCCATTCGGGCAGGCCAGTAAAAAATATAAATAAATGAAAAGACTTTTCGATGGAACAAAGACCACAAAGCTGCTAACCCATTGCTCCACACACACACAAACACACACACACACATCTTCCTAAACGGGATTCTTCACGCTCATGCAGTCACACTGTGTCTCTGTACCTCCTGCTGCTTCCCTCGTCCCGTCCGACCCATGACCCCACTGTGATATCATGCACCACTACAGCAGCTGTTCATAAAGCTCACATCTCATCCTACTCCAGGACGACCAAGAGAAAGACTGAGCTGGAAGCACAGAAAGCGTAGAGGAGCAGAAACGGGCACAGAGCCACGAACGGATAATGACTGAAAAACAAGAGAGAGACTTCTGTGTATTTATGTACAATTTACACCCTCGAATCAAAGCAGAGCGCGTCATGAATTGCCTTTCTCCACGGATAGGTACTTTGTTTTTCATAGCAATGTTGCAAACCATGCATAGTTGCCCAAAGTTATTACTCTCAGCACAAGATGTTTACGTCCAGACCGCTTTATGCTTAAACTGTATATTGTGGGTAAGAATCTTAGTTGTTCAACTAGCATGGCCACAAACTCATTTGTACATAGTTGGTGAGTTTATCTAATAACGGTAACATTGATGAGAAATATATATATATATAAAAAAAATTACTGTATTTTCAGTATTGACACCTTCAGCGTTTAAATGTGTAAAGGGTTATAATACCAGCTACAGTTTAAAAACGAACAAAAAAGCTCAAATAAAAGCATAGCCTCCACATAGCGGCATTTATATGGTATATAATTGATTTATTTATTGATTCCGTTTTATTTTTTATTATTATTATTATTGACTTTATGTTTGGTGAAAATGTCTGTACCTGATACTCCTCAGTGCTGAAGTATTCTTTCAACCACTTATAAACACGATACAACACAAACTCCGACAGCGGAGAAGCGATCGCTGGTTAATGTCCCTCTGAAAATCATTGTGTAAACCTGCAGCAGCTGAAGTATATCGTCAAATGATTGATAATGTGTATATTGTGTGCTATTAAAACGCAGTTCATGTTGCACTTTGTGACGTTGCATATTTTTCCGAACTCCGCCAGGCTCTTGTCAAGCTCCGCTGTTACGTAACGTTTGTCATTTCGCAGCACACCCAACAGACATGGCCAATTGGCAGCGGAGAATAGGCCTCTTATTGAAATGTGACATCATTCGGAGCCGCTGTAAGTCTTTCTGACAGGTGCAAATGGCATCACCGCAGGCACTGAGAGCGTTTCACACGAGCTCCCAGAACGAACATAAATAAACATTTTCTTCAGGTGGGTTCTGCCAGAGTGCTTTAATTTGAGTCATGGACAATTAACCCAGCGCTGTGTGCTTTATACTGGTTGCCGCTGGGGATTAAAAACGAGCCTGATCTTGCAAACAGATCATGTATGAAGAGTCAGACCACAGAGGTTACATTTTGATGGACCCCTGAATCTGGAAATTATTTCCAAATGGGATTAGCGATAAAAAGTCTACGGCACATATGCAGTATTAGACAATACAGAAAAGTTGGAATGCTTAAACTTAATACATATATTTTTAACAATTTTTTTTACATCTTACTGGTACCGGGTTGGACCCCCTTTTGCTCGCAGAACTGCCTTAATCTATCATGGTATGGATTCAACAAGGCACTAGAAATATTCCTCAGAGATTTTGGTCCATATTGACATTATAGCATCTTGCAGTTGCTGCAGATTTGTGTCAGCTGCACATCCATGATGCAAATCTCCCGTTCCATCACATCCCAAAGGTGCTCTATTGGATTGAGATCTGGTGACTGTGGAGGCCATTTGAGTTCAGTGAACTCATTGTTATGTTCAAGAAACCAGTCTGAGATGATTCACGCTTTATGACATGGTGCATTATCCTGCTGGAAGTAACCATTAGAAGATGGGTACACTGTGGTCATAAAGGGATGGACATGGTCAGCAACAATACTCAGGTAGGCTGTGGCATTGACACGATGCTCAATTGGTACTAATGGGCCCAAAGTGTGCCAAGAAAATATCCCTCAGACACAAGGCAAGATGGATCCATGCTTTTATGTTTTTGACGGCAAATTCTGACCCTACCATCCGAACGTTGCAGCAGAAATCGAGACTTTTTTCCAATTTTCTATTATCCAGTTTTGTTGAGCCTGTGCAAATTATAGCCTCAGTTTCCTGATATATATATATATATATATATATATATATATATATATATATATATATATATATATATACAGTTTAAGTCAGAATTATTAGCCCCCCTGAATTATTCGCCCCCTCTTTATTTTTTTCCTCTATCTTTATTTTTTTTCCTCTATTTATCTCTGTTTAATGGAGGGCAGATTTTTTCAGCACATTTCTAAACATAATAGTTTTAATAACTCATTTCTAATAACTGATTTATTTTATCTTTGCCATGATGACAGTAAAAAAATATTTTACTAGATATTTTTCAAGACTCTTCTATACAGCTTAAAGTGACATTAAAAGGCTTAACTACAGGTAGGTTAATTAGGTTAACTAGGCAGGTTAGGCCAATTAGGCAAGTTATTGTATAACGATGGTTTGTTCTGTAGACTATCGAGAAAAAACATAGCTTAAAGGGCTAATAATTTTGACCATAAAATGGTTATAAAAAATAAAAACTGCTTTTATTCTAGCTGAAATAAAACAAATAAGACTTTCTCCTGAAGAAAAACTCTTATCAGACATGTTGTGAAAATTTCCTTGCTCTGTTAAACATCATTTGGGAATCATTTAAAAAAGGGAAAAAAAAATTCAAAGGGGGGCTAATAATTCTGACTTCAACTGTGTGTGTGTGTGTGTGTGTGTGTGTGTGTGTGTGTGTGTGTGTGTGTGTGTGTGTGTGTGTGTGTGTGTGTGTGTGTGTGTGTGTGTATGTTTATTATAATAAATTATAATAAAATCAATTAAATGTCAAAAATTTTATTTGATATTTTGCATAAAAATCTTGTGAATTCTGCCAGTAGAAGAACAGATACACAAAATATAATAAAAAAAATATTGGACAATTCACAGTAAGATACTGACAAAAATAATTACGATTTTGCTGTATTTTCACATTAAAGTTGTAATTGTTAATTTACAGTGTGCTTATAGATTTACAGTATCACTGGCAAACCATATTGCCAGTAAGTTACTGTAATTTGAACAATACATTTTTGACAGTGCAGCCACAACATTTATAAAAATGGACAAAAATAATTATTAAAAGTAAAAAACCTGTAGCACTAACTTAGTGTTCTTCATCAAAATGTATGGTAAACTTGACATTTCTATAAACAATTGTAATCTTTGAATGAACTATTTCCTTAAAGTGGGAGGAAAATATTGTGGTAAAGCAAGAGTTGAATGAAGATTTTCATTTTGTGAAGCATCTTTCCTCAATTACTGTTGTAATGTAATGTGTATTTAGATGGATACACCCAAAGCGCTTCACAATCATGAGAGGGGGTCTCTCCACAATACCACCAGTGTGCAACATTCACTAGGATGATGCGACGGCAGCTACAGGACAACGGCGCCAATGCGCTTACCACACACAGGCTATTGGTGGAGTGGAGAGACAATGATAGAGACAATTCAGTGTATGGGTATGATTGGGAGGCCATGATAGAAAGGACCAATGGAGGGTATTTGGCCAGGACACCGGGGTTACACCCCTACTCTTTACCAGAAATGCCATGCGACTTTTAATGACTACAGAGAGTCAGAACCTCGGTTTTATGTCTCATCCAAAAGACAGCGATGACTGACAGTGTACTCCCCTTCACTATACTGGGGCATTAGGACTCACACAGAGCACAGGTTGAGCACCCCCTGCTGGCCTCACTAACACCACTTCCAACAGCAACTCTAGGTTTCCATGTGGTCTGAGCTTCAGTGAGTAACCGGTCTTGGGCTGCAGGGTGATATGGCTGTGGCCAATTGTATTACGTTGTATTACGTTTCACAATTGTATGCCATATTTTTCTGATTATGTTGAAAGGCACATAGAAGAAAAAAAAATGGTAAAGGAATGAGGGGGAAATCAGCCTTCCTGTTAAGAACTGTACAATTTAGGCCATCTTTGAAGTACGACTGGGGTTCATAAACTGTCCATGTAGTGAATGTATGTAAACTTACTGTGTTTAAACTCCCATCTGCTGTGGGTTACAAGCCAATGAACTGCTCACAGATGTCACCTCAGGGCCACACCATCACCAAACCACACTCGAACATCACAACGAAGAAAGAAGAACACTCAAGTGGATTCAGGAAAGAGAAAACAACAATAAACCAGGTGACACTTTTTACTGTATGAAAATCTGCATTTGTTTTGTACAATATTTGTATATTATACACCTTATTCTTCTCAGCTTTTTTCCAAAACTGAAAACAGATTTTTGTAAATCCCTCATTTGTAAGGTAGCCGTTCTTTTGAGTCAAATCTTTTATTTATGAATCATTTTGTCTAGCAAAACTAGTCTGAATGATTATTTTGCTTATAATTAATCTCACCGACTCTATGATTCACTTGAGCAAAATGATAAATATATGACAACTCAAATCCCTTTGTTCCTAACACAAACTCTCATAAGTAACCCTTCAGCCTTTTTGACATTTTGAATGTGTTTATGGCACTTTTAAGTCTTTTTTTTTAAAGAAGTCAATTTGAATTGTACAGGGTCCATGTACAATGATTAAAATTGTGAAAAATGATGACAGTGTTCGCAAAGTCAGACTGTTTTAAATACAATTTAGCAAAAATCACACGATGATAAATAAATAACAATAAAAATAGCAACAACTGCAATTAAATATGTTCATTACAAAACCATATGACAAAATCTACTTTTTTCATATATATTTGATTTTTCATTGAATACCATCTAGGCTACAGTTGTTTTGTATGCTATACTGTATATGCTTCACTCTGTTAGTATGGATGACAAAACCTGCTAAAACAAATTAA